TGGATTGTATTTATATTTATATTTATATATGTATATTGGCTTTGGGAAAGTTTTGTATGGAGATGCATGGGATGGGATGGGATTCGTGTGAGGATTACTCGTACGGAGAGGGGTGAGGGTGGTGAGAGTGGTCAGCTGGTCGTGAGAATTTTCGTGTGATGTTTGATGGGTGATGGATGGGAGGGGTAGGGGTGAGGTGAGATGCCATGCTATGCCATGCCATGCTGTGCTGGAGAGTGACTGGTGGTTCTATCGTATTCAATGGGTAATGTTTCTTGTGGAATATGTTGAGGTCGAAGTAGAGACGGATACAGACAGACACAGACACGGACACAGACACAGACACAGAGACAGAAAGTAGAGGGTAGAGAATGATTGCATATCTGTGTAGAGAGTACCAGCTACGTATGTGTATGATTCTATGATGTGAGGTTGAGTGGAGAATGATGGTGATCGTATTTGATCTGCATATACTGAGTGAGCGTACCGTATAAAACTACCTAGGTAAGTAATCCGAGTCGAGGGATCAAAAGCCCGATATAGAAGGGGAATTTCATTCGGAATTAGGAAGAGAAATGGGAATTGTGAATTGAGGAATATCTAGTATCTATGGGATGAGATTAAGTCGAATGAAATATCAGTTGTATTACTATTAAGAATGTATATAGGGAAGTAGCTATAGGTAAATAGTTGAATGGTTGAAGAGATACCTTTATAAAACAATCTAGACCTTCATCTTACATCATTCCATAACGAGAATTTGTAATAACTCATGATCCACAAACAAACACTAGCAAGTACTTATTTGATGACGACTTCGTACTTGTAAACTCTACTTGACCTCCTCATCTAGGTCAATTACAGATTAGAAAAGAAAATGAACACGGTCCACTTCTGTACGAAGAAGGAGAAGGAGAAGTAAGAAGTAAGTAAAGCGTCTAGGTGAGTACTTATTACCTAGGTAGGTAGGTCAGTCAGTAGCTATGAAGAGATCCGAATTCTCTGATTGATATATAAACTTATCAAGTCAGACGTCAGATCGATAGTTAGTAATGATTTTGGATTTCTTTCTCTTACCTTGATCATTTAATAACTCTAATCTTATTCATCTTATTATCTTTTTAATCTACTCTACCTAGTAGCTATTTCCCTTCTCTTTCAACCGAAATCTTCACCATAATCCATCTAGAATATATATATACACGTATACACACATACATTTCTAAAGTACATATATATCTACAAGGGAAGCGGTGATCACGGAAATCCTCATTTTTATCCTGGTTCATATCAAGGTCGTCTCGTTGGTGTGTATGTCACATCCATACGCCCATCCATCCATCAATTCCCATTTCGATCTCTGAGCCGTGGCCATGTTTTCGGTGAGACATCAACCGATAATTATCACGGGGAAATGTACACCATCTTTTCGCATTTCGACTGCGAGAGTATCGAGAATATCTCAAACAAGACAATTGAGATATCAAAGTAGAAATGCGAAATTCAATACACATACAACTTCTCAAGTATCAACCTCCATCCCGAAATCCAATTCCAAAGACAAAAAAGGATGGTCGACCCAAAATGCTCTTTTGTTGGCGGCGGCCACCGCCGGCTTAGCTTACACGTTTGCCATGGTACGGGAAAAGAAGAGGAGGGGTGAGGGTAGGGATTATGCGGATCCAGAGAAGTTTACGGTGCCTCGATATGCAAATATCAAGGAGATGGAGATGGTGAGTTTGGTTGCAAAATGGATTGATATCAAGGACTGGAAATGAGAGATGAAAATGCCAGGAGGGAAATAAAAGCTAATCAGATTGTGAAAATATAGGCACTGAAGGAAATTCGAGAAGCTACAAATGAGGATACGATTTCTACGGATCCGGAAGATTTGTTGGCTCATGGATAGTAAGTTTATTGTGTTTTTATCAGCAAAGGTAGTCTTCATGGATTTGAAATGTCGCTCGTCTCACACGAGAAGTGGAAATATCTTGGCTAGTCACACTGCAGACAACTTCTCAAAGACCATTGCCAAATCCACAAAATACTCAACTAATCTCAATCAACAGCTCAGAATGGTCATCTGCCAATGTCGATTGTTTACCAGTAGCAGTAGCCTATCCAAAATCTACTCAAGAGGTCTCGAAAATTGCGTCGATATGTCACAAATATCGAGTACCAATTGTTCCTTATTCAGGGGGATCGAGTTTGGAAGGAAATGTATCATGTCCTTATGGAGGTGTTAGTGTGGATTTTGCTTTCATGGATCAAATTATTACATTTCATCCAGAGGATATGGATATTGTTGTTCAACCATCGGTTTCGGTAAGATTTCTAGATTGATTTTGATTTCCATCTACCTCTTTCAGTCTGTGTAGATTCTAATCATCTGATAGTGGATGGATCTCAATGAGGAACTTGCAAAACGTCAATCCGGACTTTTCTTCCCAGTGGATCCAGGTCCAAGTGCAAAAATAGGAGGTATGGTAGGAACAAACTGTTCTGGTACCAACTGCGTTCGTTACGGCTCCATGAAAGATTGGGTAATAAATCTAACCGTCGTGCTTTCCGATGGAACAATCATCAAAACCAAACGAAGACCTCGTAAATCTTCCGCAGGTTACAATCTCAACAGTCTCTTTGTAGGCTCCGAAGGAACCCTCGGTCTAGTAACTGAAATCACACTCAAACTCGCTGTCGTACCATCGGAATACTCAGTAGCTGTAGTCACGTTCCCTACGATTCGTGATGCGGCAGCGGCAGCAGCTGGTGTCATGCGCGCGGGCATTCAAGTCGCAGCTATGGAAATTATGGACGAAGTCCAAATGAAAGTCGTCAATCTATCCAAATCCACCGCCCCTCGTCAATGGAAAGAACTCCCCACGCTCTTCTTCAAATTCTCCGGTACCAAAGCATCAGTGAAAGAAAACATAGCAATGGTGTCCTCCATTGCCAAATCCCATCGCGGTAGCTCCTTTGAATTTGCAAAAGACGCGCGAGAACAAAAGTTGTTGTGGTCAGCGAGGAAGGAATCGTTGTGGAGTATGCTAGCATTGAGGAAAAACGGGAGTGAAGTGTGGAGTACGGATGTGGCGGTACCGTTCTCGCGACTGGCTGATATTATTGAGTTGAGCAAGAAGGAAATGGATGATTTGGGACTTTTTGCTAGTATCTTGGGACATGTGGGAGATGGAAACTTTCACGAGAGTATCATGTATGATCGGACGGTGCCGGGAGAGATGGAAAAGGTGGAGAGGTGTGTGAAGAATATGGTGGTTAGAGCTTTGGAGATGGAAGGCACAGTCACGGTACATTTGACTTTCGGTTTTTTGATGATACTAGGATCAATTACTAATGAAAATACAGGGCGAACATGGAATCGGAATCGGAAAGAAAGAATCTCTTCTCTTGGAACTGGGTCATGATACTCTGGGCGTCATGAAATCGATCAAATCGGCATTAGGTGAGTAATCTTTACCTCTTCTCACCTCTCTTCTCCCCACGTCTTCTCCAAATCTATGAGAAAGCACACCATATACCCACAAACCCAACTAACCCGACCCCCAGATCCACACTGGATCATGAATCCTGGTAAAATCATAGATATCCCCAAGTAAATCCACCTCGCTTCGCTTCGTTTCGTTTTCGCTTATCAGGTACCTTCCTTCCTTCTATGGTTTGGTTTGGTTTGGTATATATTCGCATCGTATCACATGGTATCGCATAACATATCTTTAGAACCACTTTGAATTAGTACTCACATCTTGGAGGAGGTAAAAAGCTTCACGAAATGGTTTTTGTGGGAAGGAGTGAAAATGAGTAGAAGCGGAATAAAATTGCATAGGCATAGGCATAGGTATGGGTATTGGCATAGATGGATGGATGGAGGGGTATGAACATGAGCATGAGCATTGGAGCGGGAAGGGAGGGGAATGTCTTTTTGTATTTTTGCTTGGTTTGTGCTTGCGTCTGCATTTGTGCTTGCATTTGCATCTGTGTGAATTACTTCGGTTGAAGATTGAGGATTGGGATTTGTGTTGTGGTATTGAGGTATTGTTCCGTTCCGTTCCGTTCTGTTGCGTTGCGTTGCATTGAATCACCTCGAACAAATAGCATATCTCCCTCATATTCAATTTCTCGGAAATGGAATGCAATAAATCAGAATGGATGCAATCCGCTCTGGAGGAGAGACTGCAAGGGAAGGGGAAAGGGTAGTGCATTTATTCGCTTCTTTTGATTTTGATTTCTTGATTTATGAATTGCTTTGCGGGATCGAGGGTAGGGGAGGGAAGGAAGGGAAGGGAGGGAAGGAAGGGAATGGAGGGGAGGGGAGGTATATACTGCATAGTCTAGGATAGGATTGGATAGGGGAATGAAATGAAATGATCGATTGATTCAAACAGTTAGTGATATCAGCGTGCGGGTCGATATTCAGTTAGTTATCTTGTATGTGTTTGTGAGAGAGTGAGAGAGAGAAGAAAAGAAAATGTGAGAAAGGAGGGAAGTTTTGCACACAAGGAGCAATATGATTTCTGTTTCTGTTCCTGGCACTTGTAGTTACTTAGATCTTGGACTTGATATCTTACGTATTCATCTGTAATATCTTCAAGTACCTGAGTAGGTAGGTAGGTAGGTAGGTAAAAGAAAGGATTGAACTGGACTTCTTGCTTGCTTTTGGTGTAAAGCCCATTCTGTCTTCCCCTTTTCTTTTCGCTTTACCAGAGTAGCAGTAGCAGTAGAAATAAAAAGCATACATTTTTCTCGTGTGAAACATAATTTTTAATACAAGTACAATCTTTGTATCTTTCTTGATTCTCTCTTTGATGCTTCCTGCCAAAATTCAGGAGACCTATCTCCTTTCGAAGATCGTTACGCCTATGCAATATAGCAGATGTGGTTTCCATAACCCTTCTGCGAGATAGTTTTCCTTAGAAGTACCAATTTTCCCTAAACTCCTCGCCTCGAATTGAAATATAATGCACGAATACCTCCCCTCAAAATTAATAATCATCTCCTCCACCTCCATCCCCTCCATCATCATCATCATCCTCACCATTCTCAAAGTACTGCTCCGCATCATAATCTCCACCCATATCCTCCTCATCATCCTCATAATCATTATCCTGCTCCTCCTCAATTTCTTCCTCTCCCAAGTCCTCTTCTCCCTCTGCACCCTCCACCCCCGTCGCCTGTTGAATCTTCGCCAACAGCGCTCGAGTCTTCTCCGAAGGATCTTCCTCTCCCATCGCCGCCAACGCAGCATTATCCTTCGCTGTCTTCGCTTCCTCCTCTCCACTCAACACGGACCATAACTCCTGCGGATAAAACTCCTTGTTAAAATTCATCCCGCTCACTAAAGGTATCGCTCGCTTTTTTCGCTGATACTTCATGCTGTATGTTTCGACGCCGAGGAAGGGATCGAAATCCGCTTTGGTTTGTCGGCCGTATTGTTCGTTGAATTGCTTTTCTCCAAAGGTTCGGACGGGCGCATCGGTGTCGCGTTTGGTAGAGTGCGTGTAGAGGGGTCCGCGGTGTATTTTGTCGCGGAGCGTGCGGTAGTATTTTACTTGCGTGCGTTCTTGGGGGGTGAGAGGGGATGGTCGTTTGAGGTTGGGATGCCGCTGAGATGTGTGTTAGTAGTTATTTTTTTGTATGAGCGCATCAAAATTCCATGATACAAATTGGAGATAGGATAAGGCTCCAAGACTTGGAGACGGTGTGGTGGAACGTACTGGGTAATCTTCACTTGGTGTGAAGTCTAATTTCAAGGTAGCATCATGCTCCCAGGTTGCGCCTTTTATACCGCCTCCTCTGGCACCTCCTCTTCCTCCACGAAAGGCCATCCTATATTGGATTCCTAAATCCTTGTGACGATTGGCGATTGACGATTGACGAGTTTCGATGATTCGCAACAAGGCAGGATGTGTTTTGAGTAGCACCTGGTTTGTGGTGATATATTGTGCTTCAATTGACGTGAAATGTTTGCGCAAGTGATATCGAGGATATACGCGAGTGCAATGAAAATCCAAAGATTGCAAGTTGCTTGAATAACTTTGCGCGTCACTTTTTGTAGAAAAATTAGAAATTGGGGGATGATGGGAATTTGGTCTTAGCTAACCTCAGATATTATTCCCCAAGATTTTCTGCCATTTTAAAAAGGGCGGTGAAACTAACTAAAATGGCGGGGTGCTGCTGGTGTAAGCTGTATCTACCTAAATACAATCTTCTTGAACGCTATACTATTGATAATCATCGATAACACTCTTTACTTTTCTACATTAATCTTCTAATTTCAAATAATCAACAGACTTTACAATCCTGGGAAGATCTCTCTCAGATTCTTACATCACTGTGCAATATACAATCATTGAATAATACAACGGCTCAGAAACATATTGTCCAGGATGGATATAGACGATACCCCCATATTCAAATTGGAGGAGCTTGAAGCTCATCTCCAGGATTTGGTAAAATCTCCAGATACCCCAATCGATACCAAGCTCTTTGATGCCGTCGAGCTGCAACTTACAGGTATGTGCTGTCTTCTACTTTACATACTAGAAGAGCTTCAAAGCAAGCTGTCGTGTGCCACAATCTTCACGGCTTCTAATCTCCTTTTAGAATATAACATCTCTCCTCTGATCCCGAAGCTACTACCTACCATTACTCAGATCCTCCTTACCACACAACAAGACCCTACAGTACTCGCCAGCTTATCCGTAAAGTTATTACAGCCCATCACATTTCCCCAGGCTCTCCAGTTGGCTTCCGAAGACGCTTTGATTCTCGCACTTCGATCCCCCATACCTGCTGCGAATATTCTTGCCATAACAATTATTCAAAAGGCCACCAAGAGTGCCGCAGATGTAGCAAATCTATCTGGTATGAGAGGAGTGGTTGAGAATTATATCCGAACATGGCTTAGCAGCCCTCATGTCGGAGTTGGAGAGAAAGCTACGCAAGTGCTAGGAGAACTTTTGGATGTCGACTCTGTTCGAGAATTGACACATATCACAAACGGAGTAGGAAATATGGATATTGGTTCTCAGCGACCACCAGGACAAGGAGCGCTCTGGCGAAGAATATTCCAAGACGTCGAAATCTACGAAATACTCTTCTCGCTTTGTAGCTTGAAGACTATCGGAAAAGGTGACGGCCAATTGGATGAGAAACAAAAGACACTTGCTCAAGCTCGTTTATTGAGAATTCTTCCTCATTTGGTAACCGTGGGGTTTGATTACCTCACCCGTCCAACAATGAGCCAAGTCGATAAGGAGTATATATCGCCACAGGACGATGGGAAACTCGGGCTACTCTACTTCGCGGCAATGGAAATGGTGGATAAAGAAGACCTGCTTATGCACATGACGCTGACTATTTTCTTCTTGGAATTATTGGAGTCACTGAGTACTGTGGAATGGTTCTTCGGCCCGAGACAAACTTATGTCGCTGAAATGATAAGGAAAGCTATGGAGTCAGACGTGGAGTTGCGTCAATCGATTGAGGGTGTGACTCTATCGCCAGAATCAACCTCACAAACGAAAGAATTGATAAATTCTTTAAAGCTACTATCTTAGATGTGGTGTTAGTTAATCAAGCCATACCCTTTGATTTCAACAGCATATAGAGTTTACAGCTCGGATCGTTGTCTGAAAACCTTAATAGTATATCTCCCGTTTCTCCCGTGTGTAACCCGTGGTTAAGGGGGCATCGCTAGAGAATCATTGACTAATGATATGATATAAAAATGGTCATATTGGTAATGGAATAGTCGAAGAAATGACCTCCAAAAAATCGGCAACAGCACAATTGCAGGTTGCATAGCTTTGGTTTCTTGGTGCTGCATGTAATCATAACGTTGGCGTGCGGTTAATACTGTTGATATCAATATTCCAAGCATTAGCTGAAAGTTGTAGAAAAGAAAATGAACATGTTACATTGCCTTCAATATTACTACGTTTCTACATACCATGTTGGTACATAATCTTGTCATTACATTCAATATATAACTGTTGTTACATCTGAATTCAGCCTTATTGTATTAGTCCATGAAATAGCAGCACAACTTCCACACATGATTGTATATTCGATTTGCTATCAATTTTTAAGACTTGTTAGTGTTGTTAAGTTACCCTACAAAGTTGTCCAATATGAAAAAAGATACTGCACTACAAATCTACTATTGTATCCAAGTTAAGAAGTGTATACTTCGTACAATCTTTCTTGGCCCAAATCAATCAATACAAAGCAATTTCGAAGACTCTACAGTGGTTATATGGATAAGTCGTGTAAAACGCTAATTGACCCACATTTAACTGGGATATCGAAATACATAGATTCAATTGATTCATTCTGTCTGTTTTGATATTGCTTTTAAAAACCTGTTTTGAATTAATTCTAGAAAATACTTTTAGGAATTGTTATGAGAAATATTGTTTTTAATATTTTTTTATAATAAATATATTAAAAAAGAATAATATTCGAATTAATTAAAATAAAAGAAACTAATTTATTATTATTTAATTCATTATTGATATCCTCAAATATTAGATCTATACTATTATTTATTATATTACTATTATCTTATATATTTGAATATCAAAAAATAATTAAAAATCAATAAATCGAAGTATATATTTTATATTATATTAATATAAAATTTAAAAAGATTTAATCTTTTTTTTTTTAAAAAAAAGTAAATCTAATATATAAATAGATTTATTATATTATTAAAATATAAGCAATTTCTCAAAAATATTCTAATCAATTCTTTATTTTGATTATTAATTAAGTTAATTAATTTATTTAATTTATAAGTAAATCAAAAACAAATAGATATATATTATATTAAAAAATTATTTTTATATTATTTTAAAAAAGAATAAGGGAATTCATTATTTAATCTATTTTATATAAAATAGAATATAAATATTATATTATTTTTTGAAAACCTTTTATATTAAAAAATAATCAATAAATCCAATTATAATTTGTATTAGATTATATTTATTAAACTAAAGAATAATAGAATACTATTTTATAATTAAATGAAATATAGATAATTATGGAATTATATAGAAAGATATATATTATATATCAAAAGAATAAAGCTTTTAATTCTATATATATATTAGAAAAAGAGTATAAAAAAGCTGGATGAATATTTTGAGATTATTTTTCAAGCAAATCAAATAAAGAATCAAATATATTTTGAAAAAAGGATTAGGGTTTTATTAATACTAAATCTTATTAAGTATATATAATACTCATTATATATAATTAAATAAAATTAAATCTAAATTATATATTTATACAAAATAATACATCAAGTTATTCTACAAAAACTATTATTCAAACTTTTCTTAAAAAAGAAATTGAAAAGATGAATTGGCCACTCTTTTCTTTTAATCTCAATTTTATTGAGAATATATAGAATTGAATAAAAAAATAAATATAGAATTATTATTCTATTAATAAAATGAATTACAATATATTTAAAAAGATTATAAAAGAGATTTGGAAAGCAATATTAGAAAACTATTTGATAAAATTGTTTAGAATTATGAAAAAGTATTACAAGATAGTAATTGCAGTAAATAGAATGTATACAAGATTTTAATATAATTTAATATACTCAGATATTTCTTTATAATACTTTAATATATTGAAATTCATTATATTAATTTTCAAAGAGTATAATATTTTGATTGATTAAAGCTCTTGTATATAGGGAAAAGCACGGTCGCTTTTTGGTGTGTTTTATAATACTTACCCTTATAATCATCGTATAGAACTGCACCGGCGCTCCCATTAAAGTTTTGGAAATATCTTTATCCAATGGGTCTGGGTTCAAGATGAGCAACAGGCATCATTCACGTAATCTGGGATGGCTCGGACGGTAAGAGGGAAAAAAAGAGAAGTGGGTGTGGTGGCCATGTGGGTTTGGTGAACTCCCAAGAATATCAATGCTTTGATAGAGTTCGATAGGGGTGATAGATATTGAATGGACGATCTTGTTGATCAATTTTAAGCTTGATTCGACAGCGTGAAATATTGGGGAATCAGCACAGTTAATGTTAAGACACTGTATATCTCTGGGTATGTATGGTGCTTTCGTATTTCTGGGTGATAGACTCCTATTTATCTCTTCTCCAGGATGTTGATCTTAGATTATCAAACCTCGGTATGATCGAATATTTTACAGGTATCATTATAAGTGCTTACCTGTCAAGGGGGCCCTCAGCGGCGCAGTACAGTTATGGGACTTTGTCTAGGCGTGTAGAAATTTTACTCTCTCAAGAATCCTTCACCCCATCTTCCTTTTTAGGCAACGGGTGCTCCTAGTTCAGGCTGGGTGTTACATCAATTGATGCCAATGTAACTAATCTCTTCATTCGGCTATTTGCTGACATCTTTTAGGTGCTTAAGATTACCCAACCATGAGCCAACATTGAAACTTGATTGTGTTAGTGGATCCTATTTAGAAAAGACAAGCTTTTATCTGATTTGTGGACCTATCGTAAGGATGAATAGACACGGCCCACGAGTCGGTGATAGCGGTCAGATCGCTTAGTTTTGGATCCTGTTCCTGACTAGTCATCTATCAAAACTCAAGAGACGGGATATCGGGATCTAAAGAAGGGGTTTTTTTTTTGGATGAAATCGAATGAGCGTCTAGATAAAGTACACACCCATTATGTACCCCTTGAACTAATAGGATCTTGAAGCAAAAGTCGAATCATTTTGACTTTTCGAAGTCAAGAATGAAGGACAGGATTCTAGACTGTAGTGTTAGTAGTATACATGACACATTTGAATAGGACCCGATGATTCGGACCAACTTTATGGGAGAACGTTATACCGATCTTACTTTTTATCAATATTGGGGAAATTATCACACTGTTCAATCCCCACTCCCACAACCAATTGTTTATCCTTATGAAGTAACCATTGCGCGCAAAGTGGATTGAGGGGCCAGCCGAATTGATGCTTTAAGCACAATTGCCCCTCGGGTAAATCAGCCGAAGAAGCTACTCCGTTCCTGCAGAATCACCCTGGGACGGGCTTATTCTCACAAGTGAACTCCATTCATCCTCCTCATTGGCTATTCGAACCTCAAAATCTCCACGCTACCTTGATTTATTTACCTTTCGGGAAATTACCTGCCAAGAGTGCCTTGGACGGTCTTCCCTTTCGTTCTTTGCATATTTAGCGAGTTGTATCATGGCTGTCATTGGATACCTCACATGCAACTCAACAATATCTGAGCATCATTTAGCCAGAAGTCGTTGTGCAACCCCCAGGCTCACGATGAACCGTTCGATTTTGGTCTCGACAATGACGGGATTAGGAGAAATGTTACATATCCCTGTCATATACAGTTCCTTTTTCCTTTTCTTCCTCTCTTCTCCCTCTCTATTTTGAATTCTAGACATCAAGCTTTTCATCAACCGGTGACCATCGTACCGTGCAAACATTTGTTTGCGTCCTGTCTTTGACAACCAAACCAGTCCAACCACATTCTTTACCTGGCTTCGGCCTCTAGAAACTTTCATTTTTGCGTATATACTTAATATCCTTTTAATAATGTCTTCATCGAAGTTTTTCACCGTGGCTGCGGCTACTTTTGCACTCATTGCTCCTGCTGCCGCTCTCTATGATGCATCATCACCTGCAAATTTGGCTTTGTACTGGGTATGGCTTACAAGTAGATTCAAAGTACTATTGCTGATTATGACAATAGGGTTCCGGACCGTCTCAAACCAATCTTTCGTTCTACTGCGAGCAATCTACAGTGGACATCATTCCATTGGCTTTTATGAACGTTTTCCCAGCACAAGGTGATGGTTATCCAGCTGAGAACTTTGGTAACGCTTGTTATGGTCAGCCAATCTTCACACCAGGTCCAGGCTATCCATTGGGAGATGTAGACACTTCGAAAGATCAACTTTATGTTCAATGTCCAGGCATTCAAGAGGGAATTCCTTACTGTCAATCGTTAGGAAAGAAGATATTGCTCTCTCTTGGAGGAGCTTCCAACACTTATCAACTCACAGGTGCAGCTGACGGAGAATACTTCGCCGATTTCTTATGGGGAAGTTATGGACCTTTCAAACAATCTTGGGTGGATGCTGGTGGAATTAGACCAATGGATGGTGGTTACTATGGAACTGATCCTAGTGTTCATATTGATATTGATGGATTTGATTTCGATATCGAGTTTGGTCCTACTGGTAAGATAGACTACCAAAATGACTCGTATAATAACACCACTGACATCCATCAGATTACTCCGAAGGTTACATCGCCATGATCAACAGACTCCGAGAACATTTCGCCGAGAACCCATCGAAGAAATATCTTATTTCAGGAGCTCCACAATGTCCATTGCCAGAGCCAAATATGGGAGCCATGATTGCTGGTGCCCAATTTGATCTTTTGTGGATTCAATTTTACAACAATGCCGCAGCCCAATGCACAGCTCGTCAATGGGCCGACAACTATGCTTTAACTGGACAAGAAGACTCCCTATCATTTACCTATGATAAATGGGTGTCAACCATTAACAGTGGTGCAAGTGCTGGTGCCTTAATCTATCTTGGTCTTCTCGGTTCTCCCTTGGCAGGAACCGCATCTGACTACATTTCTCCACTCGAGGCTCAAAGCTTGATTGAATCTTATCACCACAAACCTCAATTTGGAGGTGTCATGATTTGGGAGGCTACATATTCTCAAGAAAACACAGATGCGGAACTTAACGGAGATTCTTACCACGGATTTATTAAGTCTTGTTTGGATCCCTACGCACCACCTCCTCCCACTTCGACATCCTCGATTGTTCACAGCACTACTATTAGTAGTTCCAGCTCTACTTCAGAAGTTTCTACTACTTCTAGTGTTCTAACGTCGACTGAGTCATCTGCTGCTGCTAGTAGCACCGTGATCTCGATCTCAACTACTTCGACCTCGGCTTCGGAATCTTCTGCCACACCAACTTTGGTTTCTTCGGAATCTTCGACTGCTACAACCTCGACTTTGTCGGAGACCTCAACCACTCCATCGCTTACTTCTACATCAGTTTCAGAGACCTCGGTAACCACATCCTCTTCATCATTGGAATCTTCCGCTGCAGAATTTTCGACTTCTTCTGAAGTTTTGCCAACTCAAGCATCATCTGGCTACACCATTCCAGGATACTCTCACAATGCAACATCTTCTTTGACCCATTCGCAAGTCCATTCCTCAAAGCCAGCTGGAAGTGGCACATTGCCAGTTCATTCTTCAGAGCCCACTGGTAGCTACACTTTCACCGGACATTCTTCCAAATCTACAAGCATCGCAACAGGCTATACTTCAAAGTCTCACTCCGCTAAGCCATCTTCCGGTCATACTTCAGTGTACTCCTTTAATTCTACTACTAGTGGAAGTGTTCATTCGTCCAAGCCATATCCAACTAAGTCTTCTGTAGTTGGTACTGGAGCATCCACCAAGCCATATCCAACTAAGTCTTCTGTAGTTGGTACTGGAGCATCCACCAAGCCATATCCAACTAAGTCTTCTGTAGTTGGTACTGGAGCATCCACCAAGCCATACCCAACCAAGTCTTCCGTTGTTGGTACCGGTCAATCTAGCAAACCACTCCCTACCAAATCACTTGGAACAGGTGTTAAATCTTGCAAGAGCAGATCCAAGACTAAGACCAAGACCAAGACCAAGACATCATCTGCAGGCCCATCAGGATATCCGGGATCCACTTCTTCCATCGTTATCTCATCTACTGCTCCATATGGAAACAGTACCTACAGTCACTCAGAAACTACTCCAGCTTCTAGCGCTACATCTTCAGTCGAGGGAATCACTGTATCTTCAGGTACCGCCACCGAAACTGGACCTGGATTTAGCGCAACTGAATCAACCGTGGTAGGATCTTCGACGACTGGTAGCAGTGAGCTCTCAACTGGATCTACTACCAACAGCGGATCTGTAACCTCAGCAACTGGTTCTATCTCGGCTACTGAATCTATTTCATCCGGAACTGGTTCAATAACTTCGGCTATTCAGTATACTACTTCGACAGCCTATGCTACTACAGTCTATACTATTACTTCTTGTGCCGCAACAGTTACTGACTGCCCAGGAAGAATTGGATCTGTAACCACTGAAACTATTTCCTCTTACACTACTGTCTGCCCTGTCACTGCCACTACCACCTCGACATCATCTGCTGAGGGAATTTCCGTATCTTCAAAATCATCTTCGGCTCCAGGAGTTACTGCATCGCAAACATCATCCTCTTCCGCTCAAGGACTTACCACATCCACATCTCCAGTATCCTCATCTTCGGCCCAAGGAAGTGCTACATCGCCAATTACTTCGATTGTCCAATACACCACCTCTACAGCTTACGTAACCTCTGTTTATACCATCACATCTTGCGCAGCCACCATAACCGATTGCCCAGGGAGAATTGGTTCCGTAACCACCGAGACAATTTCCTCTTACACTACCGTTTGCCCTGTAACTGAAACCAGTGGAAATGGTGGTATTGTTAGCTCGACATCTTCCTCCACCGGAGTTCCCGTTCCAACCACAACAGTTACTTCATATGGAACTTCAACTGTCTACCAGACATCTGTTTATACTATCACCTCATGTGCCCCAAGTGTAACAGATTGTACGGCTAGATCTGGCCAAGTCACAACTGAGACTATCTCATCATACACTTCCGTGTATCCAATCACTGTTTCTAGCGCCCCTGTCAATGTACCTTCCTCTGGCGCCTCTTCTGCTGCTGGAATCGAGACCTCAGTACCAGCTGTCAAGATCTCTTCCACCGCTGCCGCTTTCAGTTCGATCCCTTCAATTGGAGCTTCATCTATCGCCGGTGTATCGTCAGCAATTCCAACCAAGGGGGCTTCTTCCGCCGCTGGAATCGTAACCTCAGTCCCAGTCATCGGAGCATCCTCATCCGCTGCTAATCCCGAAGCCGCATCCCCAACAAGCGTCTACACAACCCTAATCTCCACTCTAATCAATTCCCAAACCACCACCATCTCCGCCATCATCGCTCCTTCAGTCATCACCGTCGTCCCCGTTGCAATCGCATCCCCATCTCCCGCCACCAGCATCGCACCACCATACAGCGTGGCGCCACCTTACGGTGCTGGAAACGGCACCTTGGTCGCCACTGGTACCGCATCGTCGATCACCAGAGTGCCAAAACCAAGTTCGTACGTGGTTAAAGCGGAAGGTGCGAGCACCAGCGCGAAGAGTGGAAGCGTGACGACGCAGACCCCGGTAGCGAACCCAAGCGCGGTTACTTTTGAGGGAGGTGCGGAGACATTGGTTAAGGGCATGGGTATGTGGGTTGCGGTGGGTATGATGGGTTTGGTTCTTTTGATTTAGGGTTTAGAACTTGGGATAGTTTATGATGACAGGGGTTTATGTGTGTATGTATGCACGTGTGTGTGTAAGATAGGACAATCTTATTGGAGAGGGAGTGGACGTATTTATGATGAGAAAATCTATTTATTGATTATTCTTTTGTATGTAGTTTTATTTTGAAGTGTTAGTTATGATATATGATGGATTATTCTATCTCCTGTATTTCTTGTAGCTTCCTTACATTCATATGTTGTGAATTTCTAGTTTGTATATGATATCGTATTCTCAATAACGTATCACTTTGCAAACAACAAAAGTGGAAAGAATAAAATCATTTTCATGGAGTTTGTGTTGAGTGGAAAGGGGTTTGTGAGGAAATTACCGGGTGGTTTTCACATTGGATTGATCTGTGTGATGGATAAAACCTAGAAAATTGAATGATTATGGAGAATGGAGGGGGTAGAGAAATCTTGTAGTTGAGTGTATTTCGGAATTCTAAATCATTTTGAAGGAGAATGAAAGGAGAATCTTTAAATCGATTTGATTCTCGGAAGGATGGGTTGGAGGTGATGTAGATGGGAGATGAGAATTGACAGGAAGAAGAGAAGGTAAAAGGATGGGAGTAATTGGAATGAAGTAAAGGGAAAGGGGAAGGGGTGAGGATAGACCATGGATAATGAATCAATTTGGTGGATGGTGGATGGTAAAGGTGGCGATCGAAATGGAAATCAAAATGAATATTCTATTGAGAGTTGAACTCCAGCAAATAACGGCTGTGAAGGCTTTGGTTGAATATATGAGGTCCCTGTGATAGCAGAATCCGTGGTTAACAAAGTGGCCACTTTGTTAATTATAATAAAATCTTTAGAGCTTAATTTTATATTAAAAATTATTCTATGATATCAATATAATTAATCTAAATCTTTGTATTCTATAAAACTTATTCTAATTCATAGGGTTTTAATGAATTTCTTAAATTTGAAATATTATCAAGCTTTAGTTTAAAGTAATAATTTTCGAATAGAAAAATCCATTTATATTTAAGTTAAATTAGGCTTCTATTTATTCAATATATTCTATATTGTATGATATAGTAATAAAGCTTTCGATTGAAAAATAAATCGAAAGTGTAGTGATACGATCTGTGGACTAACCCCCCTTGAGATTTTCGACTAATTTCATTTACCCTTTAGTATCTATACTTGCTCCCCTTCTCCTTCTAGCTTCTACGCTCGTCTTCCTCCTACAGATATATCCTTCTGTTCACCTTTCCCTCTATTCTAATATTGGAATAATCTCTAAGGCTCTCCAGAGCCCTTATTTTCTTTTATTTATTAAAAATCAACAATAAACAGGTCGTAAAAGTACTGATTCTATCCGTCGCAAATGGAGTGAGTGTATCGTCAGTGACGACTATATCATTAATATTGTAATACACGTATCAAAAAATTTATATAAAGATTTATATTTAATTTCTCTTTGTTTCGAATATTAACTTTCCTACCACAGGGCGGCAGGCAGTAAACAGTCTTGACGTTTTTTTTGGTATATGGGAGGAGATGGGAGGAGATGTGTGGGTATGTTGAGATGCATTTTGGGGGGATATCAGGAAGGCATGGATAAAATAGCTAGGCTGACAAGTCAGAATTTATACGTATGATGAAAGTGGTGAATTGTTAGCTTAGAAGAGTAGTAATAGCTGAATCTTCTGCGAAATCGTTCAGATGGTATATTTTAGAAGTCTCGTATACAATGTGTGACAATGGGAGGTTTGGAGAATAGAAAATGCGATACGATATCATTGGAGTTGTATGGAATTCTGGTCAATGAGTGATGGGAACTTTACTTAAAGAATTTATACTCAAGGTGTGATCAGTCTGGTTATTATTTTAAGATACGATCTTACTACGTGATTCACATCTAAGCTAGCATGAATCTGAGCAACGACTCGTTCAAGTATTATCATATCAGATGGTATAATATAAAAGTTTCAACACAGAATACTAAAATTCTGAAGTTTCTATGACATATCTTGAATACGTGTTTGTCTACAAGCCATCATCTCACCATTCAATGCGCAATAAATTGACGCTTCTTTTTAGTTCTCTCAAAATGAATAATATGTATTGGTAATTATTCATACTCTATCATCCATCCATTCATAAAACCACCGCATTACTCTAGAAGTACTCTACTCCCGCTTCGCATACTTCCTATGTTTCCTATGCTTCCTATGTTTTCTAGGTGCATTCTCAGCCTGTACAGCCCCCTCGCTTAACAAAACATTCTCTCCATTCTTCTCAAACCACTGATCCACAACATGAGTTGACCATTCCACAGCTCCTGGAACAGGTAGCCGATCATCAAGCTCCATATAATCGATCTCTGACATATCATCCGTTCCTGACAGATACTCCGACTCTGTTGATGATCCCAGGCCGGCCGCATAATTTGGTCCTGTCACTGAATCATGCTGGATTCTCGCAATATTTTGAGCTCTTAAACTGCGATGGGTCTTGGACTTTTCTTGAAAAGCCACCATCTTCTTCACTGCTTTCGTTTCTTTAGCTTCTTCAGCTCGATTTTCCACCCATGCTCTAATACTAGAGCTATCATCCGGTCCGATCTTCGTCGTTAAATTGTTGTATGTTCCAACAGTTCGATAGGCAGGGTGATCGACCTTGCTGACTGCGAGTTTACGGAGCTCGGAATCGAGATCAGACACGATGAGTTTGATGATGGGTTTCAAAGGACCGATTTCAAGACATTGGATGTTCTTCTTGATGGAGTGGATACGTGCTTCGCGGCGGAGGAAAGAGTCTCCCAGTTCGGGCTCGATGCGCTCGTGTAATTTGGTGAGAATGACTTTGAGGGGTTTGAGAAGGATGGAGTCGATTGACTTGATGGCTTCGATCTTCTGGCAGATGTTGCACATCTTGTGAAGAGTGTCGTGGTTAAAATATGGATTGTAGTTATGGGTGATATATCTCTACAAGGGGTAGAATGGGGGTTTGTGTGTGAGGATGCTCGAGGTGTGAATAATGAGCGGAAACTGTCATTCAACAATCGAGTGTTGGAGAATACTGACTGATTGTTATTCTGATTAAATTTAAGAGATGAACAAGTTCAGAAGTTATTGCGCTGACTGGAACTTGGGGAGGTTATAACCCAAAATATATACAGCCAACGATAAGTGCTACATTGCTAGATGCACGATGCAGGCGTTACGGTTTGGCGTATTGGAAATAAAGCAGTATGTGTTGCAATCATCGTAATGTTTACGGTTTGTATCCAGACGTGAATAAGAACGTACGGTTAATCATCGCTTGAAAAAGGGGGAGATGACTTTGAGTGAATCAGTAACATCCAGACATTATGGTTATATGTACCCAGAAGAGTCGCAGTAATCTGCACAGTAATGATTGACAGTAACTGAATGATAGCTGAATGTAAATCCTCTATCCATGAAACAATAGAGCATAAAACCAACCAAACTACCAAGATGGACATGCGGCCACACATGCGTTCATCTTCACCCAAGTTTCTATCATCTTCGGCCCTTCTATTCCTTCACCGCCGTGCAGATTATCATCAACATAACCCAAGATGTCGTCACCCAAAGAAAATAAAGCAAAAACTCAAAGTACTCATAGCTCAATGGTCTGATTATTCACTTCCAGTTTCCAACATGCTAACATCAAATTACAGACAAACACTTATTTAACGGCATCAACGCCATAAGTCTTATCCACAGGTATTCACGGCACCAATCTACGCCTCCAACACCTTATTCATTGGTACACCACCCGCTGGTACAGCCTCACTCATCTTATCCGACGGTATACCTCAAATCTCAAAAATTCACTTCCCATATCTGGTACGATAAGTCCCGGGCCTGGGCATTCTGGTATATCTTCCATACGGTGTAAGTACAAATCCCTCCATCCAAAATTAACAGATAACAGACTTGCGAGCTATGAGAACTGAGTAACTTTTTTTGCTCTTTTTTTCTTGTAATTGTTTTACGGTCTGTTTAAGCGACGTAATGGTTCGGTGTTGAAAGATGATTTGTATGGAAGAAGTAAGCGTAGATTGTAAAAACTAAGAAAGTAAAAGTAAAAATGAAAGCGTACTTCTCCATCATCTCCACATGTGGAAACGAAGAGATCCAACAACTTGTTGGCAATGAATTTGAAACTGTCCACGATCAGATTCTTGTGTATTCCTAGACAATAGCTCAATCAAAGAATTATCATTTCTTTTGATAGTCGCGCAAGTCCTTCTCATCGCTGGACTGGGATGGACTTTTCTTCATCTCAAGTTACAGCGCACACATAGATCGGTTGACAAACTCAGGAAGATGAAGAAAAATGCTTAATCTACGTCCTCTCCTAAGAAAATAAATATTCGAGGGACGTTTTACTCCTCCCAGTCCCATCAACAACATCATGACTCCAATCATAGTCATGGGATCAGCATCTCTTATTTCCAACTCAAGTCTCACCACCCACCTTCCTTTGCTCGCCTCTCCCCCCTCGCAAAACCCCCACCCCTTCCTAATTACCAGCACAGAATATCTATACACATTTCTCAGAATCTCCACCCAAAGGAAACAAATTAAATCAAAGCCCTCACTTCAATCTCACAATCAACCCATCAATATGCGACTTCGAAATTTCCTCAAAGATGCCAACAGAATCCTAGATCAGCATCTACATAGGCTAAATTAATCCACTTCCAAGGACTATAGTTAATAATTAATGATAATAGAATTTTGACTTTTGATGAGATCTAGTTTGATGGTTTAAGGAAATGAAGAGTATTAGAGAGGTGTGTGATGATATGTGTGCGACGGGGGGGGGGGGGGGGGGTGTTCTAAGTCTGAAGACTCCCCAAACATGGTGGCTGAAAGGGTTTAAATCAGAACTGCTCTTTGCACTATTGAAAGTATTCGGCTCAAATAGAGATCATTGCGAAAGAGAATGAATTTACCACATTACTTGATGTCAACCACTTTTTGCGGGATTGAGTACATGACTATAATTAACGCAACTCAATAAATTTGGAACGTAATACGTTCACTTCATCAACTTATCAACTCTCTTCTCCAGACTCCTCTCAAACTCACTCACACCACCCTCTAACACCTTTACCCCACCACCTTTAACAACGTAAACCAATCTCCTCCTCTGCTCCTCATCCTCCTCATCCTCCTCATCTTCCTCCTCTTCTCCCTCCCCCTCCTTCCACCCCTCCACCACTTTCCTAACCAACCACCGATCATGACTAACCACCACAACACCTCCATTCCACCCCCTCATCACCTCCCCCACGGCTCTGACCGTCCAAAAATCCAGATGCGTCGTCACCTCATCTAGAACCAATAACTGCGGTTCCTTCCACACCAACCTCGCCAACGCCAACCGTACAAGCTGACCACCAGACAACTTACCAATCGGAACATCCGAGACAATTCGTCCCTGCAGACCCAAACCATTCAGAATCCCACGAATTTCCTGCTCCGAGAGCACACCGGAGATATCGGATGTCAGGAGCGAGAGAGCCGTGAGCTCTGGAGTGCTGTGCGAGAGAACTTGCAGATCTTCGACAGAGTTCTGAGAGTAGTATGCGAGTCGTAAGCGAGGATGTTTGGTGAGGGTTCCCTTGGTAGGTTTGGCGGTTTCGGTAAGGAGGGAGAGGAGGGTGGATTTTCCGGCGCCGTTGAGGCCCACGATTCCAATGCGATCACCCATGTGGATGGTGAGATTGACGTTTTCTAGAACGAATGGTGCGGGTGGGGCAGTGCTTTTTGAAGATCCGGAAGTTGGGTAGCGAAATGAGATGTTTTCTAATGAGAGCAATGGGCCGGGAAATCGTAAGTCAGGTGCTAGAGGGATCATCATCGAAATGCCTCTTTCCTCGGATGGAATCTCGATCTCTTCTCTCGCTGTTAAATGATAGCCAGCTAGATCGCGGTTGAGTTTGAATCGGGTTCCTTTGGCGGATACCTCCATGCCCATTCGATTATCTAATTTCTTTTGACGAGATTTAGCTTGGCGGAGTTTATTCTCATCACCAGTTGCTTTTCCTTGTTTGATATTTTGCTGAATGGTTTGTTGGATGTGTGATTTTTGCTTTTCTTGAGCGTCGCGCATTTTTGTTAAATAAAGAGTTTTCTCGCGGATGGTGGATTCATATGTAGCCAAGGATCCACGGAAATAAGTCAGCGCTTGGCTGCGCAGAATAATAAGTTCTTGAGACGTAGCGGTGATGAAATCGCGGTCGTGAGAAACAATTACAATGGTTGGAGGAGTGGGGGTAGATTCCTTGAGGGTTTCGAGATATTTTTGTAACCAGATGATACCGAGAAGATCGAGGAAATTGGTAGGCTCGTCGAGGATTAGAATATCTGTTGGTTGGAGAAGAATAGAAGCGAGATTTGTACGCATTCTCCATCCGCCGGATAGGGTATTGACTGGCTCTTCTAGGTTTGCTTTGGGAAACCCCAGACCGGAGAGGATAATTCGTGCTTTTGATTCGATGTCGGCTAGTCTGGTGGGCTCTAGCTGTAGTTGTAACTCTGCAAGGAGTTCTGCTGCTAGATCTGTCTCTTCTTTGATCGTGATTTCATCAATCTCCTCATCTTTTTGTTTGATTCTATATCATGGTTTAGAAGTCGCACGCCAATTTGGTTCATGCCCACTTACCGTTCCTCGGAATCCGCAACAATTTTTTCAAAGGCAATCAATGCTTTTCTTGCTGCCATGCCACGTGTTCCACTCCGGAGTCTAGCATCCTTATCTTTCTCGAATAATTCCTTCTTCAGTCTTTCATGCTGTACTTTCCGAAATGCCCGAACAGGTGCCAATGCATCTTCTTGACTATCCACAGCCTTGGACAAAACTAAAGGGTTTAGTCAATGCCCATATAGATCGTGCAAATGCAAAAATTGGGATGCCAAGACATACCATCAACTTCATGTTGAATTTCACTTTTTGAAGTAGCCCTGTCGATAACTTCTGCCAATACTGACAACTTACTTCCCCCATTTTCTTGAGACTCACTACCCCCTTCGTCACCGACATCTTTTGAATCTGCATCTGTTTGCTGCAAGATGGATATCCTAGTCTGTACAGGAATACCGGGGATCAATTTCTCCGCAATGGCCTTCAACAAAGCTTCATGTGGCACCAATTATTAGGAATCTCATTTCCCTTCGCTCAAGATGGAAAAGGGGAGACATACTCGATTTTCCTGTGCCGTTTCTTCCAATCAATGCATAGCATATTCCAGCTTTAAGTTTCAAACTCGCATTGGATAGAATTTCAAGACCTTCTGCTTTAGATTTTCCCTTTAATTTCACGCCTGATTTACCCGAAGATGTAACCGTGATGTTTAAACCTTCAATATCGAGCTACGATGTGTATTGATCAGAATTGGACTTCAATTGGAATGATCTTCAAACATCGCTAAGAGAATGGAAGTATTTACCTCCTGATAAACTGGATTCTCGATGTGAAATCTCGTTTGTTTACACGAACACAAAATGGTGGTTGCTGATTCTCCTTGAGACAACATTTTTCCTTTTCGCCTCGATAATTCGGATGGACAATCGATTTTTAAAGAAACAAATTAAAATAGATTCGAATTAAACAAAGGAACGAAAATCACAATTAAATTTATCAAAGTACTGAACCTGATTTCGATGGCATTAAATTCAATCGAGGAGGCTGTCGTTAAATAGTTGATATGCATGGATATGGAGTAGAAAATACCAAGACCCAACAGACCTTCCTCAAGCTTTGGTTGCCGCTTTCCGATGTCGATCTCGTCGGCCTGACTCACATGTTTCGGAACCAGAAAACATCTCATGTAACTTCAACACACAACATATAAGGTTACGCATTCAAGTTGAATCAGAGCCTCAGGAATATAATAGTAATAAGTGAGTCACATCCTCAGCGCCGTCACATTGATAGATTTGCGCAACGCAGGTGGATGGATGAATGAGTAAAGAGAATACTGTAGCTGTTTCGGTTAACCTATCGTCTAGTCTAGTGCTACTTCAACTGCGCCACTCTTAGTTCTATGGCTGAGCTTCACATACAGCCACGTGATGTTATCTTCTGCACCTGACTTTTCGAACCCATCGCTCTCATATCCAGTATCTTTGCATGGAAACACTAGTCATTGTAATTCTTGATCCAAAAAAAGTGCCAGTAAACCAATACTCAATACTCAATACCCAAATCTCAAACATCAACATGTCCACCGAAACCCCCAATCCCCTCTACGTCCCTGAGATCCTCACCAAGATTCTCTCCCATCTCGACGTCAGAACTCTGCTCCTATCCCAGCGCGTTTCCAAACAATGGGCAGAGATAATCCAAACATCCCCCCATCTGCAAGAATGTCTTTTCTTCAAACCTGCTCCCCGAGATACAGAGGTTACGCTTAATCCTTTACTGGCCGAGAAATTCCCAGATTGGTTTTATACTATTGAAGAAGAACCATGGAATCAAATCGGCCATGAAACTTTCGACGATCTGGAATGGGGTTCTTCACCCGGCATTGCGATGGCTTATAGGAGATCCGATGCTAGTTGGCGTAAAATGCTACTGCGTCAACCCCCACTTGAAGAAATGTTGATTGATTACACCAGGGTTGATAAACAGGGACTTTTTTTCTGGGACGTCAAGGTTGAGAAGAAGGAGGGGATCAGAATGGGTTTGGCGTATGATTATATGTACGAGGCTATGTATAAAGGCATATTCGTGAGTGTGGATGGACCTATCTACAATCATGGATTTATGTTCGATTGGAGAGAGGAAAAAGTTGCAGGCGTAACGTCGAAGGAGCGCTGCTCGAGAATCAAGGTATTGGTGAGGCAGGGGTGCAGTGATTGTGCGGAAGATTGTGAAGGTTGTAGAGATGTAAATGGTTATCACAGAATCTTCAGAAGCGAGGGATTTGAGAAAGAAGCGGCAAATG